AAGCAAGATCTCAGAAGACCTCACAAGATTTTCCATGATGTTTTAGTGTGCTGGATGTTGTCTCTTTTGAGCATTCAAAGTATAGTGTTATTTAGATTATTTTTTTTTTTTTACTTTTTCCCTCAGTTACCTTACACCAAAAAGTATTTACACTGTTGGCTGAGGAATTGACCATGATGAGTAGATTAATTGTTTGTTGGGTATCTGGTGAGTTTATGAGAAAGAAAAAGCCCTAAGCATTTAGGATATATCCTTAATGCAGATAATTTGTGACTGCAACAAAAGAGGCATAGTGAAATGAGATTTAACTAAATTTGGGAATGAATAGCAGTGAAAGTGTTTCAGCATGGACTTCAGTGCAAGCAGTAGAACCTACAAAGAGCTTGGGTTGTAATACATAAAGCTGAACTACCCTGAAGTCTGTATAAAACCACATTGGTGTCCATATTGTTTTTTTGGGTAGCTAAATGAAAGTAGCTCTGGAAAGAATTGCATGGCTGCATTCATACCTCTCAGTTGCAGTAATTTTAGATTAAGGAAAATGCTTACATTTTGAACAAATGTCACTTGTGAAATTTGATCTTCAACTTGTAACTCTATGTTCTTAGGCGCCAATCCCTCTTCATTCCTAATCTAGAAAACTATTCTTGAGAGCATCTGGGTATACAAAAAAGAATGACAATACGCTGATTGTTGTTTAAATAATGGTTCCTAAAAGTTCCTAATTATCATAATCAGTGAAAGTGTGAAGCAAAGTAGTCACCTTATTTTTCTGTTATATTCAGGTTGTTTTTTTCCATCAAAAATTATCAAATAATGAATTCTGCTTAGATGGAAAGTCTTCAAGGATTCACTGTTTCTTGTCACCAGAACTTGAGTGTGGAATATCATGTTTGCAATTTTTCCAATTACCTTCAGGTTGAACACAATTCCTGGCAATTGGAACAGGTTTTCATTACAGACAGGTCAAGGGAAGAACTGGAAGAGGAGGAGAAATCCAATTGATTTTCCTCATGTTCTCATATGCATGATGTGGTCATGTCAGAAATGTACAGTCTGCTATCAGACAGAGGCTGTTTCTGCCTGTGACAGTGCCCTGCTTGCCTCACAGGATAATTTCTTCTGATGAGGCTTTCTTCTGAGTCCCTGGCATCTGTTCTGCTTGTTGGAATCAGAACTTCTATGTCTTCGCATATTTCTGCAATGTCTTTTGGAAGGTTTCCATAGACTCGCCTTTCTGTTTTCTTGGCCTAGTGACCAGTGAAATATAATTCATCTTAAAAAATTAAATCTACACTTGTAGGCATCTGAGGATGTCCTGCCAGGACCCAGGTGGGACTGGGTCCTGGATATGCTCTGGCTATTAATCTTCAGCTTTTTCAGGAAATAGTTGATGTGTGATGAAGCTTTCAGTGAGTTACTGTGAGCCAGGTGAGGTATGTCTTCTAATTCTAGAAATGAAGACAAAGCAAGTGTGTACCTTGATCACTTCCCCTTCCATGATAATAGGGCTAAGTACATAAATGAGAAGATAAAATAAATTAGAGGGTAAATTGGTTCTGAATGGTGTGGTTGTGGTCCCATCGTGGAACACACTTGAACTGAAAAGTCTGACATCACTTTTTTTGGTGTAATGACAGTGCCTATTCCTAGTATCTCCTCTGGTTGATCCATAGTGTAGTGCTGGATCCTACCCAGAGAATTAGATAATATGGCCCCTCTTGTTACATTTAGCTTAATCTTTCAGTTTTTAATTTAGAAAATTCATTTGTTAGTGGTAGTTTTCTAGCAAGTCTGCTTACTATTTGCCAAACACATGTTCACTTCTTCTGACACCCACCTCCACACACTTGAGTATTTAATGGTTTACAATTAGCATGCCATCTTGTGACTACAGAACCCCTGAGAGGTAAAATGAATATTTATCATTTTAAAATGAACACAAGTTTAACCATCAAAATGATGTAAGTACTACGTTTACCTTTCATTTGACTTTTTTTCCTTACTGAAATCAGTGTAGGAAAGGAAAGATAAAAGCCTATTGATCCATCATGCTGACAGTATCTTCAAAATCTACCAGTTTTTCTTTGGTGATATCCTATTTCCCACCTGTATTATACATATATATATATAAGCATATATATATGCTTATACCTGTAAGCAAGTCTAGCCTAGCAGGGAAAAATTTAGAGTGCTTTTTTTTTTGTCACAGTGGAGGAAATGACTCAACATATTACTGTAGATGGGGGCTGCTTATGTCTTGGTTTTTAAAGCACAAGAGTTATGAGCTGTTGACTGTGGTGCTGAGTGGCTGGACTGAACTGTGGATTATGAATGGGCAGAGAATGCACTGAGCTCAATTTCCAGCTCTCAGCTCTGCTTTCCTTCCTTTCATGGTTCCCTGGCCCCAGGTGCTGGATATCACACCGAATAGCTGTTAGACAGAAGGCAGATAGATAGTTATCATCATAGTATTCATATTAACTGCTTTATTCCTCACATCAAGCTCTGGGATGACTGAGTAATGCCTTAGTTTTGCAGATCTGAAAACAGACAATGATACTGATTGTGTGCTAAATCTATTTTATTTTCCTTGGAGGAGGTGAAGAACCACCATTCATCAGTGCTATCTTCATGTTTTTAAACTGTTTGGAAAACCCTCAATTTCATCTACTCTGTCATATATTATTAAAGATACAAGAATGGTTACAATCACCAGTCCATATTCCTACTAGAACTAACTGAAATGAGTCTGTCTGGCTGATTTCCTTGGTCACAATAGTGCCTTCTAGTGAAAATCTCTCTGAAACTTATTTATAATCCTTTTCACTGACCAGGTTTGAATACTGCTTTTCCTTTCAGTAACTAAACAATTAGCTTTCATTTCTTCATACAAACATCAGGCAAGTTACAATTTTAACTAAGGGAAATTTGAAGCAAAGTAGTTCTGTAGGTATATCTCTGGAGATTGAAGGATACCAAACATTTGGAAACAGATCTTTGGCTTTTTGACTGCAACCGCCTTTTAGTTGCTGGAAGTTATAGTACATGAATACACACTGCTAGAAAGGTGTGTATAGAAGCCAGCAACAGGAACAAGCAGTCATCTTGCCAAATCAGTGAGAAAAGCTGACAGGGTGAAACACGTAGGCATGATTTGTTTTTATGATTCAGAGCCATAAATCCTCCATTGGCGCTTGGTGCCTGAACTGTCTGTCCTTTGACACCTGTGAAACAAATGATAAATATATTGCTATCACATACAAGTCACATGTTCTCAAGCCTTCTTTCAACTCAGTTCGGGAAGATCTTTTTTCACCTGTAACCTAAATACTAGATTTGGAACCTGTCCTCAGTACCTTTGCTAGCTATTTTGGAGCTAGCTCTAGTTACTCCTTATACAGTCTTCTGCCTCCTATGAATCCTATTCTAGACGCTCTGCTCTCTGTGTGTCTGGGCATCTAGCCCAGGCTGTAGATTTCAAAGGCAGCAGGGTGCTGAGAGGTTAGGCACTGTAATGTTTTAAGTACCTTTGTGGATCTAGCATTTCTTCATTACCTGAAAACTGATACTCTCTTATTTGTTTGAGCAACAGTTGTGTATGCAATATACAGTTATGAGCATATGCAAAATGTTTCGTATGCCTGAGATAGTTTATACAATTAATTACAAACGCAGCAACAAGGCTGAAGTACATTTTATTTTGTTTCTATTAGTACTTAACACATTCTTCATTGAGAGAAGCTGAGATGCACGATACTGTTGTGATTGAACTTGCTGCTGCAATGATGGAATTGTATTTCTTCTACAACATTTTGATTGAAAATAGCTTTTTTTTTGAGATACTGCAGTTTTTCATCACTTGATATACGTTTCACACACCTTGTAGATGGCAGTATACAGTACATTACATATACACGTTTTGCAATATTTGCACTTGAATTTCATGTGGAGAAAATGTTCTGTTTTTTCTTCTTTTTCTTTTTTTTTTCCTAAGGGCCATTGCATGAACAGAAATTGTTGAAAAATATACTCTCAAAATTTATGAGGTAACAAAATGGTGCTTTATATCATTTTTTAGGATCTGTTTTTCTTCTTGTGCCCGACTGACTTTGTTTTGTTTTCCAGTTTGCATTGTTTTCCAGTCTTTCATTTTGCAGGATGCTTGCTACATATTTCCCTTGCATTTCATTTTCATATTTCACTGACAGATTGGAAGCCCCCTTACTTGAGAAAGAGGTTGCAGTAAAGAGCTTTTGAGCATGTATTGCCTTACCTTAATATCAGTTTAGAAAGTTTACTAAAGCTTTTCATAGTATGATGAAGAGATATAAATATCATCTCTAAGTTCATTTGTTAATTAACAATTTAGAGTTTTCAGTGATAGCTCACACCTCTTAAATAATTAAGCTAACTTAATTATGAATGTTGGCAGTTTGAAGAAATCTGTATCTATTCAATCATAGATTAACACTTCAAATTCTGTATTTGATTCTGTAACCAGAGTATTGCTAGCCTTATATTCTCAGCTGAAAAAGCAGAACTGTTTTATAGTTCCTGACTCAAAAGAACCACATTCTGAACATATGATAACTGTTAAACTACAAGTTTGTGCTTAAATGCAATCTTGTGGCAAGTTTGGCTTCTCAACTGTGACAAATCAGAGTAGTTCTGTGGAGTGCAGTCCAGCTGAGCCACGACTCAGCGCTCATGGATCTGGCTCAGGATGTTGTTTTAATTTCTATATAAAAAATAAAATAATAGCTAACTGAGCTGTAATCTTTAATTCAGTATTAACTGTGCACGTTTGTAAAATATATTCTTCAAAATGCATAACTAAGGTAACTTTTGGCTGGCTGTGCTGCCTTTTATCAGGTGAGCAACTTGCTTGCTTTGCCTGCCTGCCTGCTCAACAATTCTTCCCTCCCGTCCTCTCTCCTCTTTCTTCCTCTCTCCTCTCCCTTTTTTTTTTTTTTTTTGGTCCTTTTAATTTCTTTCAGGAGGTGTTTGCATTGCTCAGTCACTCAAAATTCCTCGGGAACCAAGACCAGGAGAATTTGAAAAGATCATCAAGCGCTTATTAGAAACTCCAAATGCTCGAGCGGTGATCATGTTTGCGAATGAAGATGATATTAGGTGACTGTTTCTTAATTTTGTTTGTTGAATATGTTTTCTCTTCACAAATTTGCACAACTGACTGGAGAAGAATAGAGTAGAAAGGGGGGATTTAAATATAAACCTGTGAAAAAATGGTTGGAAATTTGCTGTATAAGTAATTCAGTTGCAGTCAGACATTGCTCTGTTCCTTTGTATCATGGAGAACTGGAATCTTAGAATAATCTAGGTTGGAAAATACCCTTAAGATCATCAAATCCAACCATCAGCCTAACACCGCCAAATTCCATCTGTAAACCATGTACCTTATCACCATGTCCGTACTGTTATGTACCTCCAAGGAAGGCAACTCCTCCACTTGCCTGGGCAGCCTGTTATAATGCCTAGCCACCATTTCTGTGCATGAATTCTTCCTCATTCTAAGCCTCCCTGGTGCAGTTTGGAGCTTTTTTCTCATATTGTATCTCTTCTCACCTAAGAAAAGAGACTAACGCTCTCCTTGTTGCAACCTCCTTTTAAATAGTACTGGAGAGTGATGAGGTCTTCCCTCAGTCTCCTTCTCTCCAGACTAAACAGCCCTAGTTCTCTTAGCAACTCCTCATAAGTCTTGGTTTATCAAGAGCTTCATTGCTTTTCTCTGAATGTGTTTGAGCAAATCAATAATCTTGCAGTAAGGGGCCCTAAACTGAACACAGTATTTAAGTTGTCTTGCCAGTGGCACATAAAAGTCTGTCACTTCTCTAATCCTTCTGGCCAGACTATTTCTGTTACAGACCAGAATGCTGTTGGCCCTCTGAGCACACTGTTGGCTTATGTTCTGCTGGCTGTTGACCTGTACCTAGAGGTCCTTTTCTAATGGGCAACTTTTGAGCCACTGTTCCCTGAGCCCATGGTGCTGCATGGAGTTGTTCGGACTGCAGCAACTGACGCTTAGCCTTGTTGAATGCCATACAATTGGATACACCCCATTGATCCAGCCTGTCCAGATCCCTCCATAGAGCCTTCCTACTCTTAAGCAGATCAGCTAACTTGGTGATGTCTGCAAACCTAGTTAGGGTATACTTGATTCCCTCATCAGATTAATTGATGAAAATATTAAACAAAACTGGCTGCAGTACAATACAGGTGGAGCCCTGGGGAGCACCACTTATTACTGGCCTCCAGTCAGATTTAACTCCATTCACAGCAACCCACTGGGAATGTCTTCTAGTCATTTTTTTACCCAGTGAATCTATTTCCAGTTCCTAACTAAAAGTACAGCTATAATAGATTGTTTTGTAACTGAAAAGGAAGAAACCAGTAAGAATGCTAGAAAACTATGTCTAAAAATGAAAAAAAAATTAAAAGGTATAGCACTGTAGGTTGAGTTCAGTACACTAGTTGTTAAGCATATTTGAGACCTGCCCAAATCAGAGCCTATTTGGTTTATATGAACTTACTTATGGGATTCTAAAATTCTTTGTACATGCAGTTTATTTAATTAGGCATTTGTTTATTTATTTACAGGCGAATACTGGAAGCAGCCAAAAAAGCTAATCAGTCTGGACATTTCCTATGGATTGGCTCAGATAGTTGGGGGTCAAAAATTTCACCAGTTCAGCATCAGGAAGAAATTGCAGAAGGAGCAGTAACCATCCTACCTAAAAGAACCTCCATAGATGGTAGGAATGCAATGGGACAAAACCCAGTTCTCCAATAATGTTCAAACATCCTAGCTCTCTTAAAAATATAAATTAAAAAAAATATATGTGTCTTCCTGGAGCTCAAGGAAAAAACTATGCAAATAAATATTTGGAGTTGACTCTACCAATATTCATTTAGTGCCTCTGTTGACTTCACATGGGATTAAGTCCTTGAATTCAGTGTACATCTGTCCACTTGGGATTTGGTAACATAAAGATTTCTAGATCGTGATTTTTCTATTTATTAGGAGCTTAGTCAAGTTAAGAATTTAAGTTCTGCAGCATTCAGCTTTTAACTTTCCACTTCCTTGCCCTCAAGGTAGACCACAATCTTAGGTACCTAATTCTCTTATCAGGGCAGGTATAACGTTAAATGTCTCCAAGCACTGAGCAGACTACCAGAAGCAAACTGAGGCTGTCTGAAATCTTTCTGTTCTCTGCACATGTGCAAAACTTCAACTAGGTGAAGTTTCCATTCCCTCAGGGATAGAGCCCGGAGGGATTTTTTTGTTCAAAAAAATAAGTGATTATTTAGTTAGGGAACTGAGGAAGTTTGTTTGAATGGCTTTTGTTTGCTTTGAATATAGCTCAAAGCCAAGGAGATGTTGAATCTGCAATTAAGCAGTTTTATAATGGTCTAATAACTACAGCACATGTGGAGGAGAGTTTCTTAACAATAGTCTGGTGATTCTTAGTGCAAAAAAAGAAGAGCAACAGATGGATGTTAATGAATTGGCTCATTCTCATGGGAGGAGATGCATCTAGGATCTGCTTTCCTCTCCTAAACTTCTTATAAATTTTTCTTTAAGAAGTCACTGTATTAACAAAGTTTATCATGTGGAGTATGAGACACTTTTCTGGCAAGTGGAGATTGTTTCTTTGTACCGCCTGCTGTGGTAACGGCCATGTTAAGTCCTGGACATAAGTGCTGTAAGCTGGGAAATGATTAGAAAAATGGCACTATAGATACTGTTTGGAGAATTTACGTTGATGGAAGTATTTATGAAGAGCTTAATCCTATTGGTATGTTGGTCATGATTTTATTAAATCTCCTGGATTGATGGAGTAATACTGGTGCAGAATCTAATCAGATTAAGGGGGAATCTTTAGTTTCCCAGCTTGGTGGGCAATTTATGTGACTTGGAAGACTTCAGGTTCAGCAGAAAGATACTCAGTGAATTTAGGTGGCCATGAAAAGAAATTTATTTGAACCTTGGCACTTGAGTCACTTTGTCTAATTTCTTGTAGGTAGCTAATTCTTTATTTGGTCATCTGTTGTATTAAAAATTAAGTTCCCTTAGCCATCTGCATGGCATTATTTTTTATTATAGAATTCTGCTGTAGATTTAGAGATGCTGTGACTGCTGTGGGTATTTAAAAATATATTTTTCTACGGCAAATATGGAATAGTAATAAATATGCTAGTATTTATTTCTTAGATATGCACATAAAATATTATTGCAAATAGTACCTACAGTTTTTTCTTGTTATGAAATTCATACAAAATGCATTATAATCTTTAAATGACTATCTTTATGCTGTTCGATATTTTAATGCCGTTTTCTCTCTTTCTTAAATGTAGGATTCGATAGATATTTTCGGAGCCGAACACTTGCCAACAATCGAAGAAACGTATGGTTTGCAGAATTCTGGGAGGAGAACTTTGGATGCAAGTTAGGATCCCATGGAAAAAGAAATAGCAACATCAAGAAATGCACAGGTAACTGTGATAGTAAAACATTATAAGTCACTTATTGGAGTGCTGGAAAGGGACAGCTTCCTGTTAGCCTTTATTGTGTCTCCCTTCAGTTCTCCTATACAAACCTGCACTGTCATAAAAAGTGTGACATTTTTCTCAAACCCAAAGAAAAGTTTCATGGGCAATATTTGAGAAAGTTTGTAGTTAATTTGTGCAAATCCAATGAAGGTACAGATTTTCTTAAAGACCTATGACTGTGGTTCAGTTCCATTCCTGTTTTCAGTGACCTTTTCTCTCACCCCATGTACAGTTGTCTGTATGCATTTTGTAGAGAACAGGTACATCACAGCAATTTTCATATTATTATCCCTAGAAAACACAGAGCACAAATTAAATTGCTTTTGAACTACTGAGGTCTTGATGGTAGGTCAAGTCATGAACTCCTTATTTAGTTTACAATCTGTGAATGAGGATGGAGTAAAAATCAAATCAATATGTCCTTAATACTTGTCCTTATGTGAAAAGAACAGGATTCTGTATTGTTTTATAAAGCTGAATGTCCCTATGAAGTTTAAACAAAATTTGTATGTAACTGGAACTGGTTTTCTCAAACTTGCTTGTTCAGGCATCATGGTAAGACACATTAGTCATGAAAGATAATAGGGCAGTCACATTAGTAACTTTGAGTTTTGTCTCACCTGGAGGCTGGCTTTTTGTTGTCCCTTGCAGAGCTTTCTATATATTTGTTACCTTTAATCTTCTGTGACTACAGCAGGCTGTTTATTTCCATATATGTGTATATTTCTGGTGTCACTTGCTTAATTGCTGCTGTTACTACCAGTACTGGCACGGACCTCTGTCTCTAACTAGTAGTACCAGCAATACTAGTTTTCTGAACTGTAAGTTATCCATGTACCTTGATTTTTGATGCAGTGTTTTCTTTCATCAAACATTATTTTTCATATGGAATGTGAACATTTTTGTTTGCTTGCTGTTCCAGCATACAAAGATTTGAAAATGAAGCAAAGATATCACAGAGCACTCTTCTAAAAAACTGCACTGAACTTTGGATCTGACAATATTTATGTCATTCCTTCAGAGAACCAAACCTCAGTGATTAAAATAGACAGCAACAATTGTAATTATGATTTAAGGGAGTATGGTAAGAATTAAATGAAATTTACTTCCATTAACCTCAAAGAACATTCATATTTGATTCCACTCTAACTGAAAATTCTGAAGAAGTCCCCTTTACATATAGCAGAGTGTATGTGTATATAGACAGTTCTTCATGTTTGTATACATAAACACATGGAAAGCTGACATTAAATAAAGTTGCTTACTCTACCATTTTAACATGTGCAGTGTGAGTCTCAAATTCCAATCTGACATAATGAAATATAGTTTTACTGAGATTTGTTTCCCCATAGCATTTCTTCAAGGCATGTATTTATCACACTGTTTTCAGTTTTTGAACAGTAAAATGTGGTCCTTTAATAAAACATGAACAAAAATGTTAATTAAAAAACCCCTTCATGCACATCCTTTTACAGTTACAGTAGTCTCTCCTTCTGTTTTGTATGGTTAGCATTTTAACTGCTCTGCCAACCTAATCAGCCTTTAACTGCCTATAATAACTGACTGCACTGCTAAAAATAAAGATGGAAGAAGAGTTTCCAAAAGCATGTGGAAGCCTGTGTAAATCAGTCTGATTTCAATTTGCTCTATCAAACTGAGTTATTAATTTCTCTGAAAAAAATCTCAGCACAGTGTAAGAGATCTTTATCTGGAAACTTTACAGAAGCATTACTTGTTTTCTCTTAACTAACCTATTTGAAAGTATAATTGTACATCTACAATATCAATAGAAGGAGATTTACTTGTGTATATATGTTTATATATATATAAAACCCTATTCTGAGGAACGTATAAAACAAATTTAAAATTTCAGTAGCAGGCTGTGCATCTTCTGAAGGTGAAGTGCATTGCTCTTTATTTAGTTTGGGTAGCAGTTTCATTCTCAAAAAATCTCTCATAAAGTAAGGTTTTTTCTTCAGTGAGATCTTTGAAAAGTTTAAAAAATCAGCACAGGTACAATATAGATGTTATGCAATTTACTAGTCAATATTTTTCAGTTGTACCACAATTCTCAAAAGGTGCTAAGGTTTAAGAGGGACTCTTCCACACACAGAAGGAGTTGCGTGCTCCTCTACTTTGTGCAGCTTGTGTGTGGTGACCAGTACATGTAGGCATGAAAGGTAGAAAGACCAGTTATTACTTTGCCTTCCTTTTCCATTTGCCGTTTTTTTGAGTCTTATGTGAAATGCTGCTTATGAATGTAACATATAAATCCTTTGCAGAAGAATTTTTGACTTTTTATTCACGTTTATAAAATGTCTATTGCTATTTTGTCTAAGTACAATAGTGCGAAGTAAAGATTACATTAGCAAGATTGTGCTTCTTCAGTAATAAGCAAGAGCTAAGATGGTTGTTGAATCTTTGTGACCCATCACATCATTTGGATAGGTGAGACTTTGAGGACTGTTGTACTTACGTTAATTGTTTATTACTTTCCTTTTGACTTTAACTCAAAATTATGAAAATTTGATCAAATTAAACACATTTGGTCCTCCTGTAGAGGACCAGTTCCCACCCTTACTCCTGAAAATACAGAGGAATTCCAGAAGATTCAAGTTGTATTTAGCTAATGTGCAAAAATATTGCTCAGTAAGTCTAAAGGCCATCACATCAGGCGACCTAACATATGCTGAACATTCATTGATTTAATTCCGTCATTTCTCTTGCTGTTATCCATTTTGTTGTTTTGTTATTTCATCAGATAGTTCTTTCAAATCTCTTTATGATATATCCAGTGGATTGTCACTTCTCAATCTAGCTGTCAGATGTAAGATTCAGCTACAAACCATGTCATTTTAAAAAGCTGCTTATTCTATTATGAAAAGGAAATTGTTGATGTACTCCCTAGACATCTTTGTTTCTCTATAGTTTTATTCATAAATAGGAATTCAAGTCTTGTATTCTGTTGGGAAATGTATCAATTTTGGATTTAGAATGTTTTATAAAGTTATGAGTCATATTCCAATCCACAGTAGTTTAGTGTACATTGCCATACGAAATTTGATAAAATTGCTGGCAAGTTGGAACACTTGCAGTGTGCAAATGTACGTGCACACATGTGTGTGTGTTCATTAGTGACAGAAATTCTAATTCCAGCTCAGACTTCTGCAAAACAGACATAACCTAGTGAATGAATTGTTGCTTCAAGTACAATTTTATCTGAATTTTGGAACTGCACCTTCGAAAGTATAGCCTCAGAAAACCAGCAAATGATGTTACTAATGATATAGCTTAGATCTAACACATGTAAGAATGTCATCCATATGAAATCCTTGTTCCCGGGAGGCAACAAGAATAACAACAACACTGTTATTCCCAGTACCTGCTCATCCTCCTTGAAAAGATTATAGTAAAAGGAAGTCAATAGTTAAAATGTTAAATGTTGTGTTCCGTTCTTCACTGGTTTGCTCTTCTCCTCTGCCACAAACAAGTCCTTGCTGTGATGGAAAGATGGGCTCTGTACAAACCTGACTCCTATATACCCCTCTTCAGGTAGGAAGGTTATCTTTTGTTTTCCATGATAAGGAACTCATAATCCTGTCTTTTGAGGGAAATGAATAATTGGTTTAGTTTTGTATACGCATCTTTGTCATTTTTCAGGCATTTGTATGTATGCAAAGCATTGATAGATAGATAGATAGATAGATAGATAGATAGATAGATAGATAGTAGATATATTTGCTACCTGACCAGATATTCATTCAAATAAAACAATAAGAAATAGTTCGGATCTTAAAAAGAATGTTAGCTGCATAATTGTCAATGTCCTTGGATTTGGCCAGACAGACTGAGCTTGTTACTAATGTCTATAGGAGGTTACTCATCTTTCAGACTTGTTGCTTGCTGTCCAAACATATAAGTACTGTTCTGTCAATGGAAGAATTTGGAGGTGAAACTTCATTAGCAAAATTGGCAGTAGGCATATTAAAGTGATTGAAAAGAATCTCCACTGACCACAGGTTAGTGGTCAGAGGATGTGATACATTTTCTTCTGATCTGTTGCCTGGGGAGTTGGACAGGGAGAGAGTGACTTCTTCAAGGTACCTTTTCCACCCAGGTACCCTATGACCATGTCTGTGTTACCAGCTGATGCAGGGCAAAGCAGTTTGTTGTGAGTGTCAGAGATCCTCATTGTGTTCTTTCAGACAATTTTACTTCAGATTGGCTGTAGTTCTTTGATCTGAAGGGCTATACCTGTATTCCCACTGCTTGTTCTTATTTTTTTCTTCTGGAAGGAACTGAGATTGGATGCAGTGAAACTGCTCTGCCATGTGAAAGTGGAGACAGTCAGGAAATTTGTTCCAGAAATGTGTTCCTTAGCCAAATTAAACATGAGTGTAGCTGCACTCAAGGAATTGAGCAGGTAGAGTTGAAGACATGGGGAAGAAAATCCCTTTCTAATGTTTCCAGAGAGTCTGCATGACAAGGAAAAACACCTCCTCATGGTATTGATTCCTCCAAGTAAGTCAGAAAGATATACAGTCTTCTCTGTGCTCAATGAAAAAGAAAAAAAAAAGACTGAACTTTGTCCTTACTTGCAGAAGACTATTAACTACAAATTACCATCATATTATTCCACTGATTAGCTATTCTGGAGGGAAAAAAGCCTATTTAGTGTGTAGTGCAATATTTGTAGTCTACCTTTTTATATTCCAGGAATATGTAGTAATTCAATATATATATTTAAAGTTTACATACTTTCTCAGTAGATCCCCAAAAAGGTAGCTTGTTTGTCCTGTTTAATGACTGCAGAAAAATGTCATCTACATATATGCAGGAATATAGACTGACTTCTATTACAGAATATATGTACAGAGCTGCCTGCCAAACAACTTCTTTATTTGTTAATACTTAATTTTTGCAACAAATTAAGAAACAAGGGA